CACACACACACACACACACACACACACACACACACACACACACAGAGAGAGAGAGAGAGATCAGGAGGTTGCAGATTGCACTGCGCACACACTGAAACTTGTCAACGCTGCCCCATGACTTTTATTAATAAAATAGTCTAGAATGGATACTAGATCGCTACATCATATTCATCATATTCAGCGCTACATCATATTCAGCAATGAGGTGGTAAAATCGCTGTTTTTGAAGTAAGAGTAAGTAAGTAGTGAATCAAAAACCTCTACTTTTTTCTATACAGAACTAAAAATGTGCTGTTTACAATGATATGATGATTTTTGAGTGGATTAGGTATTAAGCGCTTTTTGGCAGTTCTCCATATGAAGCGCCATTTGCAGAAAACTTATCTTCGATTTTCTGTTTTCACTAGCCTGGACATTACCATGACATGGCCTTTCCAAATATCCACCAGCTCACTATGGAGGGCCCAGAGCGCTTCAGCATCATTGCAGAGTCCAACTTCCCAATACAGACCCAACACTATCCTCCTTTCCAGAACACAGAGCCCTACAAGTTCCCTTATGACACACACACAGCAGCGGCCATGGCGGATGCTCCGAGCTCACTGCAGAAGCCTGCCAACCACCGTTTGTATATGACCCGCCCTCCTTGTGGGTATGACTTTGCAGTCCCAGGATACCTTGGCTCAGGGCCTTATCCACCAGCACTGTATAAGGATCCTTCTAGCCCACAAACTGAGACAGAACCCAGTAAGTCGGGGAGCAGTCTGAGTGGCATGCCTCATGGCACGAGTCCATTAGGCAGCCATGAGCGGAGCTATGCAGAAACTACAGGAAAGCATCATGGTTGGAAGCAAATTCTTAGTAAAGGTGCCTATGGGGATAGAGGAGACTACTCTCAACTGGCAACCAACACCAACCACCACTACTACAACAGTGACTACCCATGTAGGTACACAGGACCTGCCCCTGCCACCCCAGCAGCATTGCAGACTATAATAACCACAACCACAAAAGTGTCCTACCAGCCATGCCCCAAGCCATCTGTTGTCAAATATGGAGAGAATATCTATGATGTGAAAGGCCTGTCTAACTGTAATTCAATCTTGGAAGAAGCCTCTTCCAACTCCTACTCGGACCTGAAGATTCCAGAGGATTCGGGCGTGATCAAATCTGCCCTCTCGTACCAGGACACACTCCCAGCTAAAATCGAGAGGTCTGAAAACTTTGAGGGCTATCGCTACAGCAGTTACAGCTCAAACAGTTACCCTGAACGAATGTCACATCCTTTTAGGTACGATAGCGGAGAATACTGAGGGACTGCAGAAAGACCAAACAGGGCATAAAAAACAAAACAAAGCAAAAAACAAACAAACATTAAAAAACAAAGTACAAAGAAACGTGTTGTTATTTATATTCAGTATTTGAGCTGTTTTAATGTCTTTAGTTTTAAAGTGATTGTAGATAACTGGTGGATTTTTATGTAAACTTTTGATTCATATTGATCAAGACAGACTGACATCAGTGTTGAGTACATTTCCATATATTCAAGTAATGTGTTTAAAGCCATGATTGGTAATTAGCTGTTGTATTTGAAATAAAATAATAATAAAAAAAGTGTCAAGGAAGGTAGGAAGGTTTTTTTTTAATTTTTATATTTGATGTTCATTAAAATGGTCTCTCTAACAAAACTGAGGGCATGTACAGCGTGATACTTTTTAGAACAAACATATGTTCATCTACAACAGAAAAAAGACACTAATTATGTTAGTCAAATTTATCTCGTTAAGAGGAAACTCAAAGAATCATAGAAAAAAAATCTATATATGTCATCACATTTGGGATTGTAAAACAGGAAAAGCCTAATACCTTTTTAGCTTTCACTCACAGGATAATTTCTTAAAAATACCAATGTTTGTTCAGCATGTCCATATAGGAAGTCTAAAACATGACGTAATAACATATAATCATGGGCTTTGTGACTGAAAGCTTTTAAGGCATCTGAGAGAAAGCGAACACACTCTTCACAAGCCATCTGAATCCAGCGAAGAATATTCCACTGTCAGAAAGGGATCAAGGATAATCACAAACAATTAATGAGGGAGGTGCCCTGACAGGCTACAGATCTCCAACCATTCCACTTGACAGAGAAAAAGAGATACAATTAAACAGACAGATAAAATATCTGACAAACCAGCAAAAAGAGAACACTGAAATATAAAGGCAAGGAGACTGTTAACAGGCAATAAGTGCAAGCCAAAGAAGCTGTAATACCTGCTGCTGACAGCATCTCTCCTCACAGCCACTTTGTAACAGACAAACATACAGGAATGAACTAACACACACTTAAGCTATGTTTTCAGATGTTCTATTTAGCCTACACAAATGCTGTATTTATTAGTGTAATGTCAGTCACCAGTCATGATTTTGTCTGTGAATAATTGTGTGTTTGATTGGCATTAGCCAGACGTTGTGATTGTTCTTGACCTGCAGCTAGTTGAAAAATATAAACTTTCATTTCTCATCACCACATTTATCATCTTGATGATACTTTTGCAATTCAGGTCAAAGACATGCAAACTGTCAACAAGGGTCATCTTATGTTATGCTGTAACCTTTGAACTATGTAACTTTTTACATCAGTATTTTTGCAGTATAAAGTAAGGAGTATTTCATTACAAAGATAGGTCAATCAGACTTAATTATGTAAATGTCTCAGATTGTAAATAATGTCTCAGATTTTTTACAGAATTTAAGAAAATGAAACTTGAAATGCCAATTAAATTATTTGTAATTTTATTAACATTTCTAATATATATAATATATTCTAATAGGTAAATCTTATTATGAAACTCCTGGAATATTTTTAGTAAACAGATTTTTTTTAAATAGTAGAAGTTAGTTTACATAACCTGGGGACATGGCAAAAATGGCAACATTTACCCAAACCAAAGTAGTGCAATGACATTCAGCCCTATTTAATGTCATAAGTATGATTAGGAAACCAAAAGTTTTTATTCTCCATAGCCCCATCAAATGGAATTGCATAAATGTCTGCTTTCAGATAGGTTTCTACCTAAACAGTTCCATAGGAATCAACCTGTAAATATAGTTAATGTATCATCCTGATTAATTAGATTATCCTGTTAATGTAGTAGGTGATGGAGTCTTCACTGTCATCAACCCAGTGTGAATAGGGTTGACCATTTTGTCCTCCCACACAAATGTAATATCACATGTAAACAATATTTTAATTTCAGAGCGTTTCCTGGTGGTGCAGCACCACCTAAAAGAAAAATCACTTTTTAAAGCAAAATGAAATATTGTACTTTTTACATGTACTGGTCAATTTGGAGATTTTGGGTTATTTGGCCTCCATTACATGACTAGTGGAAAGAAAAGCAACAATTACAACATGTTTCTATAAAGGCTTTTTCTAATTATTTTTTTTCTCAAGCTCTGAGCCAAACATTCCCACTTCAGTAGCACTTACATACACCAGAATTTCAATTTTTTTACAGAGAGGTTTGTTCATACGTCAATCCCATTTATTTATATTTCATTTTGTTCTTAATTTTTTATGGCTGTTACAGTATTTTCTGATTTATGATAAAAAAGTGAAAGGAGGTGTCCTCTGTGAAAGCTTCAACACTAATATTTCTTCTGTTGTCATCATTTGTAAGTTGCTTTGGATAAAAGTGTCTGCTAAATGACTACATGTAAATGTGATGACTTATACAGCTATTTCTGCATATTAGGTTAAAATAATAGAGAGGAGTATTTTTATCATTAAACGGTAGTCTCTGTGTTTTTGTAACACAAGCAGTTTCACTGGAGATTGGCTCATGTCTTACATGATCCTGTAATCAACAAAACAACAGGCAAGCCATTTTTAAAGGACACATTTTTAAATGAAAATATGACTGATGTTACTCTATATCTCTTTAACCCATATTTCACGAGTTCACACTAACATAATTGGATTGAGCAATTGGTAAGCATATTTGGTGTGCTGTCCAGAAGGAGGGCTCCGAGCTCAGGAGAGAGCCTGAACCCAGAGAACTCCCCCTATCCCTAAATTGGGATGAGAAATAGAATAAGAGTGAGGAGTTGGGGTGGAGGAGGGATGCTGGAAAACTGTCGTGGGACAGAGGTAAGTTGCCTGTATATATATGCGTATTGCTAGTTAAGGTGATTAACAAACAAGCTCCACCTGTGCCGAATTGATTGATTATCTGATCGTGCTCCTCCCGAAACTTGTTAATGAAACATTATTTCTGCTAACAGACCACAGGCAGTTCAGAAAGGTTTCTTGTGTTGGATTTGAAGAAATTGTTCCTTTGAGTAATTTTACTGGCTGTGGTTCAGTTTTACAAACCAAACCAAATTAATTTCAGTGTTTTGATCCATCAGGCCAGTGCTGCAGCAATGCATCAGTTCACTTCCATGATGTTTTCACTGCTAGTCATTACTGGACTGCAGGTGAGTGTTGAGTCCACAGGAACACGTTCTGAGCGAAGCATCGACAGACATTACAGATCAGAGCTGACTGTGCCGAATGGAGGGAGATGGGGGTCGTGGGGTCCGAGGGAAATGTGTCCAACTGGAATGTATGCTGTAGGATTCAGTCTAAAGGTAAGCTAAGAATTGACTTAATTACAGTAGTATGGGGTTTGTTTAATGCTTGAACGTGTAAGCTGGTGACTGAGGGTTGAAGGTTCAACTCTGGAGTTGTGTTTAGTGATTCAGTTCCAAGTGTTTCTAAGGAAACTGCACCTGCTCAAGTTTTTGACTGCTTTGCTTGATACTAAAGAAACCAAGTTGAATGTTACTATGGATTGGGTTAGTCCAAGGATTCCCAGCTCTGTTCCTGAAGGCACACCAACAAACATTTTTGAACAAACTTGATTCAAACCTTGTTAATGAAACATCATATTTCTGCTGTAGGCTGGTAGCCATCATAATCTGCTGCTAACTTCAAGCGGTGATGTTTACAAACAGTGAACAGGAGATAGACCAGACTCAAAGACTGCATGATATTCTCTGGAACCACAGAGCCCTTCAAAGACACATTCACGAGTGGCACCACATCCCTGAGTGATCAGAGACATACTGAGCTTTGGACTTCACTGCATATGACCCCATATCATCTTTGGTACTTTTGAGATACACAAGCCGTTAGTAAATGTTTAAAACTTAAGACTGGAGTTGGACTTCTAGAGAACTGACTCTAAAAGAGATATTTCCCGTCTTGTGTTAAATGTAGCTCAACTGCAAGAGTGTCATGCTGGCAATGTTGAAGGCATGGGTTTGTTTCTCAGAAAACACACATATTGATTAAATGTTTACCTAAATACTGCTTTAGAAAAAAAAAATACTGGTAAGCTACAGCTCCATCAATAATATGATTATCCTGTGAATGCAATCACATTTATTGCTAGATGCACGCAAATACCACTCTCATTCCATGGTCAGATTTGACCTTTTAACCATCATTATTATTTTTCTAAGAAATAATAATAATAAAAAAACACTTCAATGTAATAACTTTGTAAAGTAATAATACCACTTATTACTCATGCTTTTCGTTATTACACCATTTATAAAAATTAAAAAACACACATTTTATATTACTTTCACATCAATTGAATCAATATCCTATTAATTTACCATGAAGTCTGACAGTCACAGTAGTCTCTCTCTGTCTCTCTCTCTCTCTCTCTGTGTGTGTAAAGCATTAACAGGAGAGAGCGCAGGTGGTGTGTGCTATGACAGTCTGAGTAATGACCTCTTACTGTCTCTATTGTTCCTTTATATCAGCCATTAGGTCTCATGCTCCTCATACTCTCCACCTGCAGTCTGGTGCACACGAACTCATAAGAGCATGCATCAACTCTTTTTGTTCTTTGTGTCTCAACCTCTTTCGTCTCAATCAGGTCAGCATCTGAAGTGCTATGTGCTGTAAAGCCCTTTGAAAGCACATGCATGCTTTTTTGACCCAGTGAAGTGAAGAGTTTTAAAATCTTTTCACAGGTTTCTAACACAAGAGTGCATTTAAAAAGCATTTGTCAAATACTCAATATGTACATGGAAGGGTTTATTTTGAAGATTTTAAAAGATATCTATAGAAACATTTCTCTGATAAATCTCTAAAAAGATTTAATATCCTCCATATTAATAAATATTGTTCCCTCTTTAAAAGTATACAATTCAATTTACTCTTAGTTGTATTTGCATTCCAGTCAATAATCAAGGATTATGATGATATTTTACATTATAAGAAAACATTTGTTTCTCCAAATTCACAAATACACAGAACTTGTCAATTGGA